ACCCAACAATCATTCCAAAAGAAAATAGAATTTCCATTACGAGGAATCCATCTTAAACCTCTTTGGAATAGGCTACGACCTTCTTTCATGGCTTGGAGTGTAGGGGATCCATGATTAGGAAGAGGATCACGAGGGTCAACAATAGAATACTTTCGACAAAACAATTTACTCCAAGTGTTGCTTTTCTCAGAGTGCAAACGCCAATTGAGCTTGCACATAGCCACAATGTTTGCATTCCGAGACTTTTTTAATCCCAGACCTCCAAGATGTCTAGGTTGGCAAACTGTATCCCACTTAATAAGGTGAATCTTCCTGTGTTGTTCATCTGATCCCCAAATAAAGTTTCTAGAGAGTTGGTCTAACTCCGAGTGAACAGAAACAGGGAGAAGGGATGACTGCATGTAATAGCTAGGAACAGAATCAAGAACAGCCTTGGTTAGAGTAACACGTCCTGCAAAGGATAAAAAATTAGTTTTCCAATTAGCAAGTTTACTGCGAACTTTATCAATAATGAATTGGCATTGGCTCTTCTTGAGTTTCTTAGGGGAGATGGGAATGCCCAGATATTTTCCCAAATCATTCGTTTCGGTCACTCCAAGGATATTACATAATAAGTTGCGAGTGTGAGGTTCCACATTAGTGGAAAACAATACTCGAGACTTATTATGGTTGATATTTTGGCCTGACGTGGAACAAAAAAAGTCAAGAAGAGAAACTAAATAGTTACAATTTTCAAGGGTGGCCTTTCCTACAAAAATAACGTCATCCGCAAAAAATAAGTGGGAAAAAACAGGGCCACTTTTACCAGCTTTAGATCCTTTCTAGATGCCAGAATCCATGTCGACAGAAATTTTTAAAGCAAGAAATTCCATGCATAAAATGAAAAGGTAAGGAGAAAGGGGATCCCCCTGACGGATGCCCCTAGAAGGATAGATAGTGTCAGTCCGATTCCTGTTGAGGAGTATTGAGATAGAAGTAGTACAAACACAAGACATGATAAGCTTAATAGTAGAAGGAGGGAAATTAAAATAGCATAAAGCTTCATGAATAAATCCCCATTCCAGCCTATCATAAGCTTTCTCAAGATCAAGTTTGAGGATGAAGTCACCACACTTGCCCTTCTTTTTAGCAAAGGAATGAACAAGTTCTTGTAAAATCAAGATATTATCAGTTCCTTTACGACCAGGAACAAAGCTGGTTTGACAAGGGGAAATGATGCGGTCCATAAAGGGTTTAATGCGAGCCACCGGGATTTTAGACACAATTTTGTAAGTAGTATTACAAAGACCAATGGGTCTAAACTCCTTGATGGAGACGGGAGAGTTATTTTTTGGAATGAGGGTAATAAGAGTCTCATTCCAAGTAGGGAACATACCCTCAGACATGAAGATATGTTTGATATCAGCACACAACTTATCCTTCGTAACATTCCAAAATTTCTGAAAAAAGAGAGGGTGGAAGCCATCCGGACCTGGGGCCTTGAAAGGTTTGAGGGAATGTAAGGCAGAATATATTTCCAGATCAGTAGGGACATCTACCAAACTGTCAAGAGAGAGAGCAATAGGTCTAATTCCAACTTGAGAGAAGGAGTCAGTATAAGAATGAGAATGAGAGGTCATAAACAAATTAGAGAAGTAGCTAGTGACCATCTCCTGAAGAAGATTATAATCAAATATCCAATCTCCTCTAGAATCCTTTAGCCCAAGGATCTTATTGCGGGCTCGATGGCGAATGGTAGAAAGATGGAAGAATTTGGTGTTCCGATCACCAT